ATTGTGGTGCTGGAGGAGACTCTTGAGAGTTCCCTGGACTGCAAAGAGAACAAACCTATCAATTCTAAAGGAAATCAACCCCGAGTGCTCATTGGAAGGACAGATCCTGAAGCTGAGGCTCCAGTACTTTGGCCATCTCATGAGAAGAGAAGACTCCTTGGAAAAGACTTTGATGTTGGGAAAGTGTGAAGGCAAGAGAAGAAGGGGACGACCGAGGATGAGATGGTTGGACAGTGTCATCGAAGCAACCAACATGAATTTGACACAACTCCGGGAGGCGGTGGAAGATAGGAGGGCCTGGCGTGCTCTGGTCCATGGGGTCACGAAGAGTCGGACACGACTAAACGACTGAACAAACAAACAAAAAAGCAATGAAAAATATTGGCAGAGCCCAATTATCTGTAGGACAAGTGGAGTAGATATTATTAGGTATCCTAGTTGCTAATAGTCATAAGAGTTGATGTATTTATTCCACAGGAACCTTATGTTACCACAAGAAACCATGTGGGCTGAGGAATTCTAGTCCAAAAGAAATTCCAAACTCTACTCCATCCTGTCATCTGAGTTCACTTTGTCTGCTTATGACTTCTGTTAATAAATATCAAATTTGTCAATACTGTATTCAGTGTGTTTGTTTCACTGTTTATTTCAGTAGATGAAATCATGTAGTGAAGCAAGCAAGAAGTCAAACCAAATACAGAAAACTCACTCCACAACTCTGCAAGTTAGCAGAAGTAATCTTCGTTGGGGTCAGGGAAGGAGTGTTGTCATTTGAATTTCTATCTGTTCTACTGCACCAAGCAACATAAAGGGTTAAAATAACATCATATAAAGTAGAATATATACATGGGGTTATCTGAACAATGAAACAGGGCTAAATCAATACATTTAGGTTATCAGTTCTGTGTAAGAAACCAGGAAATGCTCTGAGTACTGCTGTCATGTATGCTGTCAGCTCATGAAGCAATTATGGTTGATTGAAATACAGTGGGGTCTCGACTTACGAACTTAATCCGTATTGGAAGGCAGTTCTCAGGTTGAAAAGTTCGTAAGTCGAATCTGCATTTCCCATAGGAATGCATTGAAAACCATTTAATCCGTATCTGCTCTTTTCGTCCATAGAAACTAATGGGAAGCTGCTATTCCGCCTTCTGCCACTAGAGAGGGATATTTTTTCCTTTTTTCCTTTTAAAATACGATGACTTAGCTTTAAAAAAAAGGAAAAAAAGAGTTTGTAACTCGAATCTAAGTTCGTAAGTCGAGTCCATATATTCCTATGAGAGCCGTTCGTAAGTCGAAACGTTCGTATGTCGAGCCGTTCGTAAGTCGAGACCCCACTGTAAATGTATCTCTCTTACTGAATTTTAGGTTGGGCCGCCAGCAGCAGCATTAGCCCTTCACCTGCACCACAGCCAGCGCAGAAATCTGGCAGCCTGAACATGAAGTCTGTAAAAGGTTTGTTACTCTCTGCATAGAATACTTTTGTGTGTGTGTGTGTGTGTGTGTGTGTGTACATCTGTTTCACCAGTACAGTGGTTTACAATATTCCATTTACTAATGTAGCCTCAGATCTATCTATTAAGACCAGCTTCCTTACAAAAAATATTTTTTACGGCTCCAATTGTTTGTGCTTAAAACACAGCCATGATTTTATGGTGAAGCATCAGTATTGCTTGAATAGTCAAGAATGCTGTTAGCTACTGAACTCCTTTGGTTCCTTATCCTGTGTTGAAGTTATCCCTTCCCTTTCTTTGGACTCAAATTTTGGCAGAGTGACTTTAGGATTTGTATTCTGCTGATTTGCTCCAGGCAATATAAATTCATCTGATCTTGCCAGGATTGGTATTTCTGAGCTCACCCCTTGGATGCCAGTTTACATTCCCTAGTCCTAATCTTCACAACTTCTAAAAACCTCAGACTCTTCAAAATGAAAATGACATATCTCAAAGGTTATTGGGAGGACAAACAGTGAACCTGTCGACAAGGAAGCAAAACCCAGAAAAAGAAATGCTAGGAAGCTTCAGAGCTAAATACCTTCATCATAGTAGATGTCAGGGGTGTGGTGGCAGCTGCAGTGGTGCAGGAAGAGTTGTCCAAAGATAATAATAGACTTAGAACTGAAGAGCTGGAAAGGATCCTATGGATCATTGAGTCCAGCCCCTGTTAAGGAGGCACAGTGGGGGAATCGAACTCCCAACCTCTGGCTCCGCAGCCAGTTACCTGAACCAATATGGTGGTGCAAGTCAACCAGACGGCATCAGGATGCAAACTCTAGATATTAGCATTATACAGTTAAAAATACTGGTAATTATCAGAACAGTTGCCCTGTCTGGATGAACACTAAGGATATTTAACTTTTGGCCAATAATATGTTTTTCATCAGCAGAGTATTCTAAATGTATAATGTATTTGTTCATTTCTGTCAGAATGAGTTGTTTAAAACAACTGCTATGCAAAAGTCCTGACCTGAATATTGTCTTTTCTGAGTTTGTTTGTTTGCTTTTGTTTGTTTTGTTTTGTTTTTGCAGAGCCATCCAGTTCCTCTAAAGATCTGACTGCTTGGTTCAGCCTCTTTGCTGATCTGGACCCCTTGTCCAATCCAGATGCTGTTGGGAAAACAGATAAAGAACATGAATTGTTCAATGCATGAGTAGTCTGCCTGTGGTAGCTTTCACTTCACCATTAATAAACATTTCCTTGAGGTTTTAGAAAATCTTAAAGCAGATTAGTGTGCTGTTGTATAACTTCTCACATCTGTGCCATTCTAATAAATTCAAGGGATTCATCTTCCCCTTTCTATAGATAACAATCATTAGCTCTTGTTTTGTATTAAGATTTTGCACCTCCTCCTCTCTTTCTTTTTATTTTATTTTTTGGTATGTGAATGTATTGAGCAAAGTTTTGATTTATATGGGATTGCTGATTAGTGTACTTGCTGTAACTTGGTTCTTGGCAGAAGTGTGTCACAGTTAATACAAGAGTGAAATATAAATGATAAACCTGTTTTTTATATTTTCCTTCTTAAATCAAAGGGAAAAAAATCATGTATTTGAAAGTTGCATGAATCAGTTGTATACACAGCAGTATATAATGGGCTGCTGCTGACATATAAACTGAATTTCTGTTGTTACAGTCCATAGTGAAAAGATCTGTACTTTGGAGCTAATCATTTGAGAATTGTATTTGAGCATCTTGAATCTACATAATCTGAAGGCAGAGGGGCAATGATATCTTTATTATACCACTGAAAACCACAAACAGAAGCTAGCTTTTGATTCCATAGAAGTTGTCATCAAGCTGGATACCACAGAGCTGTGGATGGTGCAAAAACATTCTTGACTTGAGACTGTAGCCACCATTTTGAAACTCACTTTTAACAAAGGACCTGGCATGGACATCTAACCATGATTTTTTGAGCTTTTATGATTTTCTTCATTATCTATAGCTGTGCTGCCCAGCCTGATAAGGCCTGTGCAGAGTCAAAAACTAGCTTCTGTTTATATTCTAGTAATTTAATAAATGTGTCCGTCACCTCTGCCTTTGGATTGTATAGAAGGACCACAACACATATTTTTCTTTCTTTCTTGATGAATCTTCATATAATTTTCTATTTTAAAATTATATGAATCTTCATATAATTTTCTATTTTAAAATTATTAGGGAAACAACAGCACAAGTCCAAACAAACTGCCCAGACAATAACTTTTTAATGTGTTACTCTGTGACAACAGTTCCTGCTAGTAGAAACCAGGAGGCATTGACTTTGCCAACATGTGCATTTATAGCAATCATACAAAGCACTTTTCGTTATTGCTGGTTTCATATATTTTCTTGAACCTGTTGTGAAACTCTTCTTTAATAAAGATGGTTTTGACAAAAAAAAAAAAACACCAACATGTGAATAACTCTTTGTCACCTGGAATGTGCAGAATTCAGCCATGAAAAGTTAATCATTTTATGTCAGAAGGTAATAATTCATCTCATAGCGGAAAGAACTAGCCCATCATCAGTATCAGTCTATAGCAGCTCCCAGGTTCCTGGCAGGGCCTGCCACTGATCCGTGCCCTATGAACTTTTAAAGAAAAGGAGGGGGGAGGAAATCCCAGAGCATTGATCAGTGCCAGACAATTTCAATTGAAAGCTCCCAGTTCTTGCAGTGCCCCAGCAGATGTTACTCTTTGTAGGAGGAATTCTAGTACTGCTTCTTGATGGTTTCTAGCCCAGTCCTTTCCTTGCTCTGCTAGCTTTCAACCAGCAGAACTTTATATGGGGGAATATTCAGAAACATTGTCTCTGTTTGAAATCTGAACTTGTCCAATCTGTTCTGTCACCTAGGGTCTCCACTTCCCATATCATTTTACTGCATGTATTTTGCCAACCTAAGTACATATGTAGATTTGTTTTGCAACCCAGCCAGTTTATGTGATATCTTAGTTCATGCACATTTAAATTCATGATGCCTAACTTTAAATTCAACCCTGTACAGTATTTCCAAACTGGGAGGCTCTGAAATGGCCTAAAAAGTATTTGAAGATATATTTTTAAAAGCTCATTGAAAGACATGTTTGTGTCTTTCTAGCATTGTTTGTGATCGAACTTATCTGCTACCTGTAAACACTGGATCCCTAAACTGGCTACTGTTTAGGTCTGTTAGAACAGAAACATTTTTTGTGTAGTCATTAAGAACATACACCAGAATCCTGTGGGTGATATACATGTGCGTGAGTGAAATTGTGTAACTCAGCACAGCGGATTGCTAACAAGGCACTGGTCACATTACTACACATGTGTCTGTTACACAGTTAAGCACACAACCTATACAATGATTGGTGCCTCACAAGTTAACGGACAATTGGTCAGAGCGAATTACATGATTTAATTTACACCAACAGGAATCAGACCATTATTTGAAAAGCAGTTCATAATCATTGCTACCGTATGTCTTACTGTATGTCATAAAAGTACTATAATGGGATGGGGAGAGGGTGATAAAAATTGCATTGCAGTTACATGTTACATTAGTAGTCTAGTTTGCATGATCTATTCTCTCATGTTGTTAAAGCTGCGTAAGATGATGACTTGTGGAATTATCTAATTCTGTGTTTACAAGCTATGCTATATTTTGCAGGAAGCAGTTGGCAGTCTTTTCAACAAACTGCCATCTTCATGACATTACTGATTCTTTTACATTTCCGTCCACTGCTCCCAGTGTTCTGAAATCCTTGTAAGCTATTATTTTGGTCCCAATCTATGTTAGATCTGCAGCCAGCTAAATATACTGGAAGCTGTAGCTTTGCCAGCTTATAGAGGTAGAAAGTTTTATTGGAGAAAAAGGGCTAATGTGAATAGATTGCAGTGGCTTTCAAGCAAGCTAATACGCTACTGTGTCAGACTTAATTAGAGCTGTTTTTAGGTCACAGATCATAGACATCTGAGCTGCAAATGGCTCCCACTCAATCAGGGCATTGTGCAGAGAGTGCTGCACAAGTGTAACAAAGGTCTGCATTGCCACCAATTCACATCACATTTCAACTACAATAGCTGAACTGCCACAAAGATAATAGACAGAAAAAAGGGGAGCTGTATTTGCACCCATTTCCTCCTAAAATGTTATCTGTGTATAACTAACAACCAAGAAAGCCAGATTTTGTCAAATGGAAAGACAACATTGGCCATTAGGGCTGTATAAGCAATGTATATGTTTCTGCATTTTGTTTTAAACAATGGATGTTAAGAGTAATGACAGTGTCAAAACAGAACTTGGCAACCAGCCTGTTTATCTTGAAATTGAGTTCCCATACTTAAGGGAGTATGATAGAGATGATTATTGTGGTGGTGGTGGTGATTTATTAATTAAAAGTTATGGTACTACAAAAAAATTGTGTAACATTCTGCTGTGCTAGCTATATGCTGGTTATTTAATTAGACAAAGCTGTCGATCATTCTGTGAACAATTAGCCCATTATTAGAGCAACTTAAGGATTTCTTTTGATTGTACTTTCTTATTTTGTTTTCTGAAGTACAGTGTTTTGAATAAAAAGTGCTATCAGTATTGAGTTAGGAAGTGAAACAGTGATAACTAATTTGCTATTCTCTGAAGGAAATTTACTACAATCTGAAAATTCCAGCTAATATTACTTTTTCCTAAGCTAAGAATAGCAGCCTTGGGAGAGTTCACATTTTAAGTGAGTAGTGCGGAGAAAAAGTGAATCATTTGTATGAATCTTTTTGAAAGACTCCTTAATTCTGTAAAGATAATTTTATAGGTCAATCAGCAGGTTTGAAAGAAGGTAAGGTAAAATTACCATTTTGTGCCTAAAATTATAGGAGTGCAGCAACTGACAGCAGTACCATTTGCTGTAGTATTAACGGACTGCTGTATTTGAAGTAATGAAGCAGATTCAGTATACGGAATTAACCTGGATCCTGCAAGTATTTGTTACCTAACCTTTCCAACTGGTTTTGTTTCTTGGTTTTAAGCAACATTAAATAGGTTGATAAGAGCCAGTATGTTGTACTGCATACAGTAGAAGACTAAGACTGAAGAGTTCAAATCCCTACCCTGCCATGGAAACTCATTGGGTGGTGGCAATGGTAAACCACTCCTTAAACATCTCATATGTTCAGAATTCCTATCAGAGGTGCCACAAATCAGAAGTGACTCGAGGCCAGATGACAACATAATTTATTAATATATATTCATTGATATAGTACTTAAGCAATTTCTGTCTTTCTAGAGTGCTTTAAAATGAAATGGACTATCTAGATTCCACTTTGGATGTGCCTAAGCAGAGAGAAGAGATTAATTCACAGAACCCCAACAATACTAAACCTGGTTTACCAATCTTGCAGGAACAAAAACAACAAGTTTCTCAAACAGGTTTATTTAATTCTGTCTTTTTAACTTGGAGAAATTCTATCCTCAGTGGCAAAACACATGCTTGGCCAAAGTTCAGAAGGTTCCATCCCTGGCACCTCTAGTTGAGAAGGATTAGATGCCATTTGCTAGGAAATATCTCTGCCAGAGCCCCTGTGAGCTCCTGCCAATCAGATTAGCTATGGAAAACAAGGACAACAAATCTAGGCCAAATGAGTTAAAAGTTTACATGTGCCATTTGGGTGGAAAAAGTTACATGCACAGGAGCTGCTATGTGGTTTCTGTTTAGTGCAGAATTTCATAATAGTTCTGCCAGGGAAGAACTGATTCTCCAAAAGGTATCAGCTACACAGTCATTAAATATTATCTTGTTTAGCACCACATTTTATGTTTCTTCCTTGACAATATCAGCCTAGACTGAGTAGGGATTGACCTGGCATAGTCTGAAGTTTCTAACCAAGGCAGCTTTGAAAAGTGAAATAATATGATAAAATATCACTAGCAGGTGATGGATTTTATCGGTTTTTTCACTTTCATCCAGCAAATGATGTGCTAAGAAGAGGTACCTGTTTATGTGCTCTGCAGTTGACACCTGAAGGAGACATCAAGCTTGAGTGCTGCATGGACCTCCAGAAAAAGAGACTGGAAGTTAATTCCATCTGATTCCTCATAAATAAAATTTATAAATGAATTTCCAGAGAAGCAAGCCTCAATTTTTGCCTTACACACATGAAAATAGCTTGCTAGTACAAAGAGAATCTCTAAAGACAGATTAAATATTTAATGTGGCTTTCGCACAGGAAAGCTCACAGAAATTATTGTCACTTAAGGCCTGTTAATCAATTCCTAGCCAAAATATGTTATTCTGTCCATGATGAAGCTCTGAAGAGCTGCCATAGTCCTGAAATTGTCATAGGTAGCAGCCTATATCACAGGTGCACAAGCCTGTGTTCATTGGTTACTTTATACTCCTGCTAATAAAAAGGATTTAGTTTGTAGGAGTAAGTAGTTTTGAAAGGGGTGTGAAATACTGTGAGGGTATGCAGGAGTCAGACATAGATGAATCACGGTGCAAAAAAAAGAAGGGGGGAACCCTACATGGAATATTTCTTCTGCTGGGTCAATATCCACAATTTTGGGGACTAGCTGGAATTTAAAGACATATATGAGCTTTCATGGATCAAATCCACTTCCGTGGACATTGTAGTGAAACCATATGGTAACCATATTTACACTTAGCCCCACAACCAGGTGAGGATACAGATAATGGACCAAGTGACAATGGTTAATTAAGGAGTACGACTATCAAGCAATGAATAATTTAAATTAACAGGTATTTGATACGGGACGTGGTGGCGTTGCGGGTTAAACTGCAGAAGCCTCTGTGCAGTCATACGATCAAATCCACACAACGGAATGAGCTCCCGTCGCTTGTCCCAGCTCCTGCCAACCTAGCAGTTCAAAAGCATGTAAATGCGAGTAGATAAATAGGTACCACCATGGTGGGAAGGTAACACCATTCCGTGTCTAGTCGCACTGGCCACGTGACCATGGAACCTGTCTATGGAAAAGCGCCAGCCCTACGGCTTGGAGATGAGGATGAGCACCACGCCCTAGAGTTGGACACAACTGGACTAATTGTCAAGGGGAACCTTTACCTTACCTGGTATGAGACTACAGGTAACAATAGCATTATGGACACAAGTAGTAAAAAAGAATCAGCATGGCGTCTCACACTTGGTAACGAGCTGGGAACTCCAAGTTGATATTTAATCCCTATGACTGGTTGCCAAATGTATAAACCTTGTCTCAGCAGCGGAAAGTAAAAAAGGAAAGAAAAAATCAACCACACAGTGTCTTCATTCGCAGTGGTCTAGGAAATGAGCTGGAAGGTGGGGACCCTTTGCCATATCCACCCTAAAACCAAATTCCATGAAGCATGCCAGTATTTCTGAGCACTCTATGCTAAAAGACAGTAAAAAAAAAAAACCTTTTCAGTAAATAGATACAT